ATACATACATATATATATATATATATATATATCTCAGAAACTTCTGACTTAAGCAGACATATTCAAAAAACCAATTAACTTTTTAGAGTCCTCTAAGAAGTAAAAGGGAAGAAATTCGCTATCCAGAACATATTATAAGCTAACTTATTTCCATCAAAAGCTGCAACATGGTATGAAAGGTATGCAAAAGAGAATAAGAAAGGTTTGCTGGGCTTGCTCCTCATCTGTTGATATTAGTGGTGTTAGAATTCTTGTAGTTATTTAGACTCAAAACCTCAGTCATCTTAGCTTTTTAATTTGTAATCACTTTATATTCTATTCTCTGTGGCCCACAGTATAGAGTCCAAACCCCTCAGCCTGGCATTAAAGTTTTTGATAATTTCAACTCTCCTCTGACCCCTTCTTCACTACACATCTCCATCATCATTGTTTTCGGATATTTCCTATTACTATGTGGCCAACCTGGTAATTTTTCTTTCTGGAATTTGAATACATGTATTAATTTCTAAGTGTTCAGTATGGGCAATGGATCTAAAGTGTTTTATTTTGTTTTGTTTTCCAGATGACAGAAGTCAAACTATACTTCCCTTAGTGAAATCATTTTGTGAAAAGTCTTTCAAAGCTGATGAGTCAATTCTAATTTCCTTATCTTTTCACCTAGGAAAACTATGCCATGGACTATATGGTATGTAACCTAAGAATTTCAAGATTATACATAATTTTTTTCTTTATTTTCTACCTTAACTACTAAACTTCAGCTCTTCAGTTGTAAAATCTATCCTTTAAGTGTGTAAAATCTTGAGAGGTCTTAGAATTTTTGTAGCATAATTTAGAACACATTTAGTAATGATGTTTTCACTAATAGAACCTGTTTGAAAGAACAATCACAGTGAAGTAGGCATAGCCCTTTAAATTTCTGAATATTTTATATTTACGTATTGGTATATGATGCTCGTGTATATTAACTATTGGTGCATAGTATTTGTTTATTAACTATTTGTTGAATAATTAATATATCATGTGAAAAGTTTATCTTAGAATGTAGAATAATACTGGTAACTCTTGGCACATGGAGCATATTACTCAGTTCTTAGCTTACTATAATAATATAAGCATCAATTAATTACAACCATCTAGCATAGTAAAACATATTTTTATGTGGATTGTAGACTTTTAATGGGCAGTTGAAAAATGTATTGCAATACATAATGAGTTCCTAGCTTCCTAAGATAGTTAATGAATATGGAACCAGTCTATTGATCAAAAATATTTCGAGTTTACTGGGCCATCTTTTAGATTGAATTTTTAAGCTTCTCTGCAGACACATATCCATGTCTTTTCTGCAGGCAATTTTTGAATATTTACCACAATATTAGTATTATAGCGACTTATCATTGGTCCATAGTATGATCCATGCTGCAGAAATTCATGCAGGCATAATTCCTGCATTGCACAGTTTATACTGTTGAAATTGAAATTAAAATATTATTTAAATTAACATGAAGTGGAACAGTAGAGCTATTAGATTTCTTCATAATTGTTACTTTTTCTTCCCTGTTGCTTTTATTTATCATCACTAACCATTTATTTAAATATTTGATTCCAGTTATGTTTTTATTGTACTTTACTTTTCTCTTTTTAATTTTTGTTTCGGTTAAGATGTTGAGCAAAGGTTTTACATTTTGTTTTAGGAATTTTTACTCCAGATCAGCACTTGAGATTTTTGGAGTTTTATAAGAAACTTTGTACATTGGGTTTGCAACAGGAAAATGGACACAATGAAAACCAGATTCCTCCCCAAATCTTAGAGCAGGAGAAGAAGTATATTTCTGTACGGAAGAACTGTGCTTATAACTTTCCGGTAATAAATTACGTATTTGTATTGACTAAACATTTTGACTATTACTTAAAATTATGTGAATAGAGAGTGTTAAAAAATATCGCCATAAAAAAAATAATCGCCATATTTCAAACTTGCTGCTTACCATTATGTCTGGTAGCTACAGTAGGTACCGAGTAAATATTGGTATAATTTACATTTCCCTGTATATGTAAATGAGAATTATATGCGTGCATACGGATCTTCCAAATATGATTCCTAACTCAATTATGATTCAGAGGACATGATTTAAAGTTAACTGAAATGACTATAATATTAGATGTTGATGCATGTTTTTCTCTCCTTGCCACTCCTCTCCTCCATTCCGCCTCCGCCAGGCTATGATTGTTTTTGTTGATCCTAAACACTTCCACATGGAACTCTATTCCACGTTCTTCTGCCTGTGTCATGACCCGGAAGTGCCAGTCAGATACACTATCGCTATTTGCTTTTATGAAGTAAGTCTGAAGCACTTTATGTCTGTCGTCAATTCTATCTGTGTGCACTAGACGGTGTTTTGATGTTTTGTGCACATCTGTTTACAGATATATTATAAAATATGGTCTCCATATCTCTTTCGTATTCTAGTCCTAAATCTTATTTGAAAATTCCCGTAATTCTTTTCTTAGACTGTTTACAGAATTCATTTATGTAAATATGTTGATCATTTATTAATCCGTTCATCTACCGTATTTATACTAAGTGCTTACTTTAAGATGACATTGTGGTGTAGATTTAGGTGTTGCAGATTTGGAAGTAAAATCAGTTTTTATATGCTTTATAATATTTATATTCGACTTTGTACCTAAAGAACTTGAGAGCAAGTGGAAAATTGAGATTATTTAAATTTATTGTTTTTTACTGCAAATGTGTCATTTTATGAGCATAGCCTTTAGATTCAGTCATTATAACAGCTCTCCGTAACGTAAGAGCAAAAGCGAATTGAAACTTTAATGATGGATTTAATTAATTATTTAACTTTTGAGGCTGAAATTTGGGGTATGTTTATTGAGCGATTGCATTAAGTACATGCATGTTTATAGTTGCAGTAAACGTGTATAAACCATAACTTGTCAGCTTCAAAACTGTCACATTAAAATCTATAAGTGGCATAATATAATATTTCCTTCCTTTATAAGAGGTATAATAAATATTCTTATCCCCAGTGAGGATATTTCATGCTCTTCCTTGCACTGTGCCCCTGCCTCGAAGCATGGCTACATTAACAGAAAGTGTGCAAGATACCTTAGCATCATTATAAATGTTACTTAAGGTTCTTTTGGCCGTTGAGTGGTAGTCCTTGCTTCTTTTGAATAACATTTTTTTTTTCTGGTATGAATGAATTAAATGTTCATTGTGCAAAATCTAGGAAATATTTCCTTCGAATGGTAAAATTCATTAAAATAAGTCCAGTGTTGCACAATTAAGTCATTTCGAAAATATATGTATAGAAATCTGCTTTTGGAGGAAGGGAGAGGGCGAGGCGCTGGCCAGGTGAGTGATAGGAGTGAGTTTGGAAATCACTGATCTAGCTATTTGCTGAGTGGCTAGTTTCCTTATTCTCACGATCATACCATTTAAGTAGGCCAATAATGATACTTTACTCCAGTCTACACTGGTGGATTTAAATTTTCCTAACAGTGTTACTGCTGGATTCTGAGAATTACTTTAGTATGTTCTGATTTTATTCTTGTTTTTATTATTTTGAAAATATTTCTGACAAGTCAAAAGCAAGCCTGTAGAGCAAAAATTTTGACGCTTTTTAAAATCAGGAACCGTTTTTACAAATAAAACTTTACTCAGAGCCAATATGTAAATAAATTCATCAACGAAGCTGAAATGGAAACGGGTGAATCTTCCGCCCTGTGTGTCTGTTCACAGAGGAGTTGCGTTAGTCTAGATGCTCCCAGCTCCTCTCCTGCCAATCAGGTGGGAAAAGCCTCCGGGGTTTTGTTTGCGTTGGCGTCATCTCCATCCCCTCCAATCCGTATCTCTGTAGGCCTTCAGCAGAATTTGCCTCTTGGGAAGTTCGAACTGGGATGAATGCTCATAAGCCTGGGATATTCCGTCAGACCCTGATGGCAGCTCTAAGACTTCCCAATATAAATTAGAGGCATCCAGGAGCTTATTATTGCTTGTGATATCAAAGTGATGACTCTGATAAATTCATTTTTCTGCACTCTCCACCCCCATATGTTGAGTTTCCCACCCTCATATGTCCACATACTCCACATGTTATGAAACAGAGTAAAAAGCTGATTACATATGCAATTAATTTTCTAGACATCTAATTTTATATTTATGTTGTAATCTAATCTCGTTTTAGAAGAAATATCTATAACAGGGCTGTATTTTTAAGAATAATTGTTATAGCCTTTATATGTCTAGTAGTCTCAAATCTGAGAGAGTTTATTGCTACATTTTAGGTGTCTAAACTTCTGGATTCTGGAGTATATTTAATACATAAAGAACTAATAACATTATTACAAGATGAATCACTGGAGGTAATGTCTTCTTACTCTGTTTTTTATTTATTTTATGTTACATCTGAATATATAAATGCTCCCCACCCCCCACACACACTTTCTGGTAATTGAATGAACTCTTTCATCTGACAAGCCCTAGAAGTGTCAAGCCAATGTACTGCTGTATAATAGACTGGAAATTGGGAGCTTCTTTAACAAATATTGGGTTTTAAAATATATTTAGTTTTAAAATACATATGTGTATACTCGTTAAGGACAATTTTGACAATGCCAAAAAATAGACAAGAACGCCTTTATTTCCAGTTACTATTACCGTGTTGTTATATTCTTTCATTTCCTTTTTTTCTATGTAAATGTTTTTGTTTTACACAATTGTAATCATATGATAGGTCACATTTTATATCTTTTTTTTTCCCTTAGCATTATTTGGCGAGTATACATACTTGTGAAGGATTTGAAGTACTTTATTTCGATGCTATAGTTAGCATATCCCATTCACCTAAATAACTACTAGCTCGCTAAAGTGCAACTCGTCGACATTTAGACATCAGCGAGGGTGTTGTCTGACTTCAACTCTGCTTTTCAAAAGTTTTTGAGCATCTGGTTGTGTGGAAGTAGCTGTCTTAGATCTAGACTATTTGACAATATCGAGAGGCAGATATACCGACCTCCTTTGACAGTTTGAGAACTTGATAGTGATAGGTACTTTGATCAAGGCAGTTGATGATGTTTCTAAGACCCTCCAGCAAAAAGATGTAAGAAAACAGAAACCTCCAAAACGTTGTTTGGTAAATAACACTATTTCTGTGTGAGAATTGACATGTGAAGTTAACTAATCTAAGATTAGGAAAACATAGTAATCATGGTAAGAGTAATCAATATTTCTGTTAAAAGGTACTAGACGCTCTTATAGATCATCTTCCAGAAATCCTGGAACTTATGTCTAATGGCGGAGAAAGCACTGTTCAAGAGAATAAGGTAAATCCCCTGTGTCAAAAAGTCACTGAACGTTGTAGGTATTACCTTACTCAGTTGTGAGCAATCAGTGAAAGGATGTATGGGAAACATTTAAAATAATGCTGGCCACATAGCGGGTGCCCAGTGAATGTCTGTTGGAGCTTGAACAGCTTGACTTGACTTTATAATCCTTATACCAATATAATTTTTATTTATTGTCCTTGGAGTTTACACTCAAAGTTCCAGTTTTTATTCACATGAATTATTATTCTAAGAGTATTAACTAGTGAGAACAAAAGGATAGGAATTTAGAAGGTCAGAGTCTGCTGACAGTGAAATATAATAAATTTTACTTTAATTAGAAGGGTTGTGAGTCCCAGACTCTTTCAAAATTTTGTTTCCATCAATCATAAGTTTTACTTATGAATTGTTATAAAGTATTTGTTTAATCAGACGATCTCCCTCTGACAACGGAGATGCCTCCGAAATGCCGAAGTGAGCGAGAGCGTCTTCCTCCCCGACGTGCTGTTAGCTGAATAGTGTGACTGAGTGCTGCAGCTGATCTATTTATCACCGATTCTTTGGGTGGGTTTTCTTTTTCAGTTATCATCTCTGCCCGATTTGATTCCAGCTCTCACAGCCGCTGAACAGCGAGCCGCGGCCTCTTTAAAATGGAGAACTCATGAGAAGCTCCTGCAGAAATACGCCTGTCTGCCTCACATCATATCAAGTGACCAGATTTATTATCGCTTCTTACAAAGAATGTTTACAATCATGATGACGAACGTGAGCCCAATTCCTTTTACCTTTTTCTTTCGAACTCGTTCAGGGTTTTGGAATTACTACCAGATTCTTTTCATTCTTGGAATAACACAACCAAATTAGTTCATTCCCGTCCATCCAGGAGGATGCTATCCTCTCACGATGTTACCTGAGGAGGAGGGAACTCAGGCTTCCCTTTGCTTCTCCACTAGTTCTTCCTTTATTATCTTCTACCCGCCCCGGAGGAAGGAGTGACCACTTACCTTTTGTTTATATACTGCCAGGGTGGGTATAAATAGACTCACTTCCAACATGATAACAGTTCTTCTCCAGGGGAAGGTTGGCAAGAGGTAATGATCTCAATTGCAAAGTGTACCTTTTGCTCTTACGTACACTTCTTACGTGTCATGGCCTCCATGCCTACCTCAGCCCTGCCATTTTGCTAAGGCATCCCTCAAGCCCCTTAATATAAGTATGGTTACTTTTTAAAAATAATACTTAAAGGGTAGCCATGTGACAGATCATGTTTATACCAGAAATGTGGATGCCTTACTAAGGATAACCTTAAAATTAGAGTCAAAAGCAGCGAGGAAAGAGTTATACTCAAACTCCCCCATGCAGTAAGTTGTCTGCCTTTTTCACAAGAATTTCCGGAGAGGATTATTTAACCCACTGTTTACTGTACATTTAATATGACATCCTACTACCATTTTTCAATGTCTACATAATATGTATGTTTTAGAAACGGTTAAAAAAGTACTTTAAATTCTCATTGTTCTTAATAAAAGGGAGCTAATAAAATCTAGCAGCCATCTTAAAAACCCCAATCAGTTTCAGCTTCAAAGATTAAAAAGAGAAAAAAATGACATTGGCGTAATTTACAACTTAAGTAAAAAAAAAAAAAAATACGAATACATTTCATGCGCTAACGCTCCTACAAGCTTATTTCCTGTATCAAAGCAAAGCCCAGAGGATGAAGCTTCCATTGTAGATATAATGATGTTAAGAAGTGATTTTGACAACAGTACCAACTTATTCAGAGGACAGTGCATGAGTGCACCACATGGGAAATTTCACATAAAATCAAACAGAATTTATTAATTATTTTAGTTAGAAATTACTTATTTGAGGAAATAGGAGTGAAAAAGACCGACAGAATCCTGCTCTAACGGAGCTCGCATTGTGGAGTGGGGGTGGTGTGGGGAACGATGAAGTAAGTAAATACGTTAACAGGCGCTGACAAATGCTGTGAAGTTGATCTTAATTTCTGTATCAGTATAATTACTTAGGAGGCATGTTTCTGTTCAGAATACTAAGAATACATAACTTTGCCATATTTTTAGCCTCTCTTACTAGGAAAGAAATGATTTACAGCATAGAGTGTGGACAAAATACTTTTAAATCGAAGAGATTTGAAAAAAAAAATCAAAGAGATTTGTTTTACTGTTTTCTTTTCCAAGGAGGTAATTCCACACTTAAAAGGAGATACATGATTAGTATAGTACATTTTCCATGACTGAAGAAGACACATATATTCTGTTTCAATATTCTCCGGAGAAAAGAAAGAGTACTATTTTTAGTTTCATACTTGATGGTCATATGATTCATTCCTTTAACAGAATTTATCAAATACTTGCTACCAAAACACCAAGTGCTATTCTGGATGCTAGGAATACAACAGTGAACAAGACAGGTCATATTCACATAAACCCTTACATTCTTCTGGACACAGGCAATAAACCAACATATACACATATGGCATGCCGGGGATGAAAAGTACAACAAGGACCTGTAAGGCAGGGTAGAGAGGAAGAAAGTGATTGAGGGTAGCTGGATGCTACTGTGGACATAGCGATCAGGAAGAGTCCTCTCTGATCAAGTATGCTTCATGCAGAGGCTTGAACAAAGTAATGGAGTGACCTCGTGGCTGTCTGACGGACGGGCGGTCCAGGCAAAGGGAATAGTGAACACAGTTCTGTGATACAGTTGCACTTGGCCATAGGAAGAGCAGCAAGGCCATTGTGGAGAGCTGTAGAGAGAGAGGAGGCTGGAGAGGTAGCTGGGTCCACAACACAGGTGCCTGAAGACCATGATGTGGAATCTAGATTGTATTCTCTAATACAGGAAAATCTTTGGAAGGTTTTGAGGAGAGGAATGCCATAAGTTAATTTTTTTTTTCCTACTCTCGTTTTGAAAACATTTTAAAGACACAAAATGGCAGAGAAAATACTATAATGAACCCTCATAAGCCTATCACCTACCTTTAACAATTGTTAGCATTTTGCCATACAGGTGGTCCTCAACTTAACGATGGGGGTTACGTTGAAAATATCATTAAGTTAAAAATGCAATATGATGCACCTAGCCTACTGAACATCAGAGCCTAGCCTACCTACCTTAAATGTGCTCAGAACAGTTGTACTAGCCTACAGTTGGGCAAAATTATCTAACACAAAGCCTATTTTATAATAAAATAGGCTTTTATATCATAATTTATTATGTGTATCACTTTAGCACCACTGCAAAGGCAAAAAATCATTAAGCGAACCATCATAAGTCAGGACTGCCTGTGCTTTTTCTATTTCATTGTGCTAAAAGATTGTAAATTGTGGATATTATATTTTATCTATAAACATTTCAATATTCATTTCTAAAAAGGACATTCTCCTATGTAATCACAATACAATGATAATGTTTAACAAAATGAACAAGTATTCTTTAATATTATGTGATATCCAGCCCATATTAAGATTTTACAGTCATCCTCTAAATGTGTTTTACAGTCATTTTATTCCATGCAGGATCAAATTAAGATATATATGTATATCTATATATTGCCTTTGGTTGTTACATCGCAATTCTTTTTTAATCCAGAACAGGTTCCCTCCTCCCCTTCTTCTCATTTTTTCATGATATCGAATTTGGAAAAGGCTTAGTTGTCCTGTAGAATAAATATTCCAACTCTGTATTCATCAGATTGCTTTTTCATGGACTCAACTTGTTCATCTGTTCTCCATATTTCTTGTAAACTAGAAGTTAGATCTAAGGGCTTGCCGTGTTTTAGGTTAAACATTTTTGGCAAGAATACTTCATAAACGCCGCCGTGTGGTTTACATTGCATCTTATCTGGTTGGTTGTCCCTCTCTAAGTGAGCTAAGGGTGGCTGTGCAGGGTGGCTGTGGCGGTAACGACAGCTCTGTTAGTCCGCTTCAAAATTATGCTTTCTCCCTCGTGATTTCCATTGCAATTTGAAGCTGACACCCAATTTCCCATCAACCTTCCACCTATTAGTTTTAGCATTGATCGATGATCCTTGCCCGTATCAGTTTTTCATTAGAACTTGCAAAAGAGTGATTTTTAAAAAATGTATCATTTCTTCTACATTTTGATGGCATTCTTCTGTGAAGAAATGCTCTTCTTCATCCACTTGGGCTATTTGATTACCCCGAAATACATTTCCTAATGTAAAGACAGGATTACTTCTTAATTCTTTCCCTCTAGCTAGGAGTTGGTACAGTAGCCCCTTTCAGTGGTGACAAATGAATTTTGATTTTGGTTCTATTTCTCTTTTAGATTCATTTTTAATTAAATAATGTTTTAATCAAATTCAGTCATTCTCTGTGCGCTCAAATTTTCACAACTTCTTCAAGCTGCCTTTTATGTGGTTTTGATATGATTACATTTATCTTTCATTTCTGGCCCAAAAGATAACTTACCTCCTATATATATTATATACTATGAGGTACAAAATATACATCATAGTGTAATATGTATTTAAAATTCTATTAGTATACACAACATGCTTTTATTTAGTTCATTTATCTAAAATTCATTTTTCTTAATTCTGGTGGTATTTCTGTTTATGTGTATTTCTTAAATTTCCTGTTCTAATTTGTAGCAAACATTCTCTTTTTCCATTCAGCAGATTAAAAATACTACACAGAATAGTACTCAATACAATGAAAATAGTTTTTGTATGAAATATGAGAAGAGGTAGCGGACAATATTCTCTCAGCAATGTAAAGTTTTATTCTACTTGAATTTAAAGATTCCTCACTATAATAATCTGAATCTTCAAAAGTTGACTATTATGATATTTACATGTAAGTCAAGATGGTGAACATGAATTTATACTGGACATGATATATCTGGTTAAGAGATTTTCCCCTAACGAAGAGCTTGAACCCAAACCCAGTAAAGACGGATGGCAGTTCATTGAGAATTAAGGTTCTGCCCAGTGGCATGACAGAATTTCAAAGGACAACGGAATTTAGAACACCGTAAGAGGGATTGACATGGTGTCAACCTTTATCTGTATCATGGACCAGGGATCTCTGTGAATGACATTGAGGTCGAAGAGCCAGAAGGCGCAAAGAATAGACCTGATCCTGAGATCTCTAAATATTTCATTTTAGAGGTGGCACATTTTGGGTGATGTACCTGACACAGTGTATGATCTAGCAAATATTTGTTGAATGAACGAGTGACAAGGTCCAGGGAATGGCTAAGAGAATGATGGCTGCAGTCTATTTGGGGATCACTTAAGATGAAGTGGCAAGGAAATGAGAGTTAAATATAAATCAGATTTGATGATCTGGAAATAACTATGCCAAATTAAATTAACTTTGTAATGTGATGTATTAGTTGGTTTGTCTGGATGATCTTAATATTAAATTACGAAGACACTGCCAGAGGGGTGTGAACTCCGTGATCTGAGATGCAGATAACACTGCTGTCACTTTTACTCAATAACTTAAAATTGATTTGCAGGGCCAGATTATTCAGAATATGTACTAGTGTAATTGTCTTTCTTATTTCTTTAAGAATGTCTTACCTGTCCAAAAGGCAGCTTCACGAACTCTATGCATTTTTCTACGTTATAATCGTAAACAAGAACAGAGATATGAGGTCATTCAAAAATTAATTGAACGTAAGTTATCATTGTTTCTTATTCTTTTAAAAAAGAGAGTAAACAAAGTGGTTGGACATCATTAGATCTGACTTACATTTTGCCGTGAATAATTAGGCTAATGTTAGTAAATACCTAGAAGGTGTTTGTATTTGAGTTTTACAGGTTAAATATTTTTTGGTTCATTTTAGAAATCTTTATGACAGGATCAGATCCATGATGACTGAAAGTAATAATTACTCGGGTCCTTGTTTTGTGTGTGAATTTCTATACTTGAGAAATTAAAATATGTATATTTATGTTGAAAGCCTAGTTTCTACCCTGATGAAATAGAAATTGGAACTAAAATAGAAGCACAGTATTCATGAATCTAAGTATTCATTTTATGTTTCTATTTTAAATATTAACAAAATAAAGGTCTTTTTTTCCCTTTAGAATAGAGTTCCTAGTACACATAAATGTGAATCTGGTGAGCCTAGGTGGTTTATGATGTCTTTAAAAAATTAAGTCGATTAACAAATGCAAATTTATTTTAATTTGCTAAGGATCAAAATTAAGACAAAACTTTAAAAATGTTAATTCTAGAAATAGTGGCCCAGTGAATTTGTTAATTATTGTATACTTGTTTTGACCATAATGTCTTAAAGCTTTTATCGAACTGTTATCCAGCAGAGGCGCATAATGGGATTTTCTGGTTATTGGAGTTTATCTTTTTAAGTACGGATTTCCACTTTTTAAAAAATTGGAGTACAGAAAATTTTATTTAAGAAAAATATGCTCGGTATACTTTAATCTTTCTTTTTTTAGTCTAATTTAATTTCCATTTTTTAGTGATAAGACCTCGCATTTAGAATGCTTTATTTTGAAAGAAGATTCTATTTAGTTTTGAACATTTGTATAATAAAGCAGAAAATTATCCTTTAAATATTGACCTGAATCATTTCAATAATACTGTGTTTACATCTGACTTTATCCATTTCAAAAGATTTTTAAAGAAATAAGAAGAAAACGGTTCATTTGATTGTTAAAAGATTTTGATAACAGGCCTGCATTTGAATTCTAGCTCTGTGACTATCACTTCTCTGGTTTTCAGGATTATCTTTTAGTAGGGATAAGTATATGCTTATCAGATAATATGTGTAAAGTACTTAGCATATAGTGGATGATTAAAAAATAATAGAAATAGTCAATATTTAATAAATGCTAATAGAACTGAATGCAGTGTTTAATCATTTTATCTGGTTTTTATTTTTTGAAATGTTAATTTGGGGGTCTACAAAGCTGGGGTAGGTAATATGATTTTTTTTCTCTTTTGTATTTGCTAAACAAATTGTGAGTACAAAGAAACGACATGGATTTTGTGTGTGTGTCTGATTTTATTACTCATGTAGGAAAAATTAAACTAATGATAATTGGTTTTTGTTTGTTTCTAGAACTAGGCCAAGGAAAAAGTTACTGGAATAGACTTCGATTTTTGGATACCTGTGAATTTATTATAGAGATCTTTTCCAAATCATTTTTCTGTAAATATTTCTTTCTACCTGCTATTGAACTGACACATGATCCAGTAGCAAATGTGAGGTATGGTATTAATCCAAGAACATATTTTAAAAAATGACATTTTTTAATGTACCTGCCATAATGAATATATGCAAAATCTTTTTCTTAGTCAATTAAAAAATCAAGTAAAGAATTTATATTTGCTTTGAGTTCCTAGTAGTTTTAACTGATGATCCTCAGTCGGACTTAGAATCTCATCTTTTCCCACTGTCTTGGGTCTTTTGTTTACTGAATTGAGAAAGCAGTAAGTCAAAGCCTGACAGGCCTCTCTGGCTACTTGGATAACACACACTGGCATCAAGAAAAGGTTGAGTGGATATTCTTAATGTATCTGTTTTTTAAGACTAAAGGAAAAATAGTTCAGAGTTAGCCAGGAGAAGATCTGTTAATTTTTACGGCCCCATTTATTCAAAGAAGTAGGACTGCTTTGAAGTCTTTGTCTTGCCTTTCCCAATGTTCAGCTGTTTCACATTTTTGAAATCCAGATGTTAATTGGAGTTGATTAATTAACCGTTAGATTAAATAGAACAGGCCTGAAAATGGCTTGCTTAGAAATTGAAAAAAAAAGAATAAATATATTTTGCCTTTTTTCTCTCAAAATAAGCATATTATTGTTCTTTTTAATTGTGGTAAAATGTGCATAACATAAAATTTAGCATTTTGACGTGTATAGTTGAGTGGCAGTAAGTACACACATACTATTTCTTGAGAGTTATTTATCCATTGCATAATGAGTTGAAAAGAATTTTAAACCCTCAGCCATGAGATTTCTGTGTTCTGTGCTCAGTGTCCCGTGTCTCTGTTCCAAACTTGAGGACCTCAGATCTGTAAGAGGGAGAGACACACTCAAAGTCAGGTGGCCGAGATTTCCCTGCACAGAACTTGAGAGCTCCCTGCTGAGTTTTCACGTGCGAGCCACACTCCTGCTGTGTGACATAGGCGCATCTTTTGTACACAACTGACATGAATTGTAGGCAATATTATAATAATTATTAACGGGAAGAAATGTCAAAGCTTAGACTGATATTGTTGCCGTTGAGAGAAAATGTACGAAGAAGAATTGTCAAAAGGTGTTGGGAAATTCAACCTAAGAATTTGTGAGCATAGTTTAAGGGGAACAAATCTGGAAGTTTGTTTTCATTTTGCATTTTTAGCGTGAGAAAGTATAGAAAGCGTAATTGCATTGGCTTCAGCATTTCGAGTACCTTCTCTGTGCTATATAAATGAGAGGTGAGGTTTCCTTGACTTGAGATTTAAAGTAAATTTAGAGAAGTTGTTGATAATTCTTTAGAATTTAGCTCTCACTAAATAACTAATGAATCAGATCATATCGTTAACATTTTGCAAATTGAAGTTGTGACTCTAGAAAAACAACTTCTAAGTGATGATTTATCATTTATGAAACAGTTGAGAAAAGTCATTTGAAAGAAAATGAAATCCAGTCTACTTTGGTCGATGTAACTAATAACATATTGACTCTACGAGAAAGCAACCTGTCATTTAAAAAACCAAATGAAGATTAATTGAATATCACTCTGTGAATTTTGGTGACTTAGGGGGCAAGAGATCATTATATAACAGTTTGTCTTGGTTCCTACTTCCTGCCTGGGCAGCTGCCAGCCAGAGAAATGGGTCCAGCAACACCATATACTAATCAGCCTTGGTTACAAAAGCCTTTGTGCAATGCTGTGGAGATGTGCAGATAGAACGAAGCCCTCACAGGTGAGGGTGGTAGGATCACGCGGGTTAGGAGAGTGTTTCTGGGGCCACAGTGCCAGAGCCGATTTCCAGCTCTACACTAGCTGTGTGTCTTTGGGCAAGTTACAAAGCCTCCCTGTGCATCCATTTCCTGAGCCCCTCATTTGTATGTTGTGAGGAGCAAATACCAGAGATAACATACAAAGAGAGTTTAGTTTACTAGAAAGGTGTGGTCTCTAACCTCAAAATCCTTAGAATCTCATGGGCCCAGGAGTCTCATGGGGATAAATCATTACTATAGTTTGTGTAGCTTCTGCTGAATGCTTTCCAGACCTGCCTTGGGTTGTAGAGAATGAAGTGTGCGTAGACTGTTTTTGTTTTTCTTAAGTGAATGTTTAAAATTTAAATTCACTGAGTCTGGAGAATGTCAAAGCTGGAAAAGACTATTGGTATTCAAAAGAGTCTTCCCTCTGAGCTGCGGGAAATGAAAAAAAAAAATCCCTTTGGGGGAATTGAGACCACTTAATTAGAGAACACGTCGCCAGGCTTAGCAGTATCGGTGGTGAGGTCTAAATGAGTTTGAGACCTTTATAGCTATTTACAGAGCTGAAAATTCTAGGGGAGGAGCTTTTCTCTTTTGGGCTGAATAAAAAGCAAATTTTGTTGTGTAAGAAGAATTCTTAACTGAAGCCTCTTAACCGAGAGAGCCTCTATGCATAGGACTTAGCTGTCACAAGGTTTGGCATAGAAGTAAAATTAATATCTGGAGAGCACTCGGATGAATAAATGAATACAGCAGCCATAACAGAGACAGCTGCCTAGCATCCCTCTCTAAAACCAGCCCTGGCAAGCAGTGGAGTGTGAGCTCAGCACAGAGATCATTCCTCTGAACTGCCCCCACCTGGGAAGATTTTCTGGCTGTCCTCTGTCTCTTGGCATTCTTCAGGCTGCTTGTCGCTTCCTTATCAGCCTAGTTAAGAGATAAAAGACTCTGTCCTTTTATCTCTTTGTCTCAAACTGTACCTCTGGCTTACAAATCATCTGTATGCTGGGGATTCCTGACTCTGTACATCCACCCTGGACAGAAGGCTCACTGCGCCAGCTGCCCATTTAGCATTTCCGTTGACCACCTAGTGGGCACCCCAGGCTAATCTGACCAAAAGGAGACCCCACCTTCCTCATCCGCACTTACTCCTGTGGTCCTCACCAACTCAGTGAATAACCAGCTCATCTTCCCACGTGCTCAGGTCCTTTCTGTCCTTCCACCCCGAGTCCCTCAGTACATCCTGCTGCCTGCGAAATATATTCAGAATCCAACCACTCCTCGCCACCTCCACTGCTGCCACTCTGGTTCAAGCCACCATCACTTCATGCCTGAATTGTTGAGTCTCCTCTATCGTTTCCCTTCTATGTCTTTGACCACCTGTGGTCTAATCTCAACACAGTAACCAGATGATACTTTAAGTCAAATCATCGCACTCCTCTGCTCAAACCCCCCACGGCTTCTCATTGCACTTAAAATAAAAGCCATTTTTCAAACAGTGGCCTGCAAGGCCCTAGACGAGCTGGCCTCCTTCTGTCACTCTGAGATCTGCTTAATCTCACTTTTGCTCCATTGTATCCACTGTAGCCAGTTTGCTAGTTTGAACCAATTTGCTAATTTGGGGCAACACCTAAGCAAGCTCCCCCTATAAGACATTTGTCCAGATATTCACACGGCTTATTCCCTTTTTATTTTTTTTTAACATCTTTGCTTAAGCAAAGGTTGTCCTTTCAATGAAACCTTCCCTGAAACCCTCTCTGACCACCTGCTTTTAAATTCTAACTCCCCTCCTCTGGTACTGCCTTGTCTTCTTGCCCTGCTTTATTTTTCTCTACAGCACGTACCACTATCTGACAGACATTTCCCTTAGTCTGAGCAGAGCATTTTGATGGTTTTATTCACTGTTGCATCTCAGCACCCAGGATAATGAATGTTTGACTCCTAATAGACACTCCATAAACATTTGTTGCCTAATAAATAAACTCCCAGGCTATCTAAAGCTTCTATTTTCTTTTAGCTTCATGTTACCATCATTCTTTATTAAATTTAAATGAGAAATTTATTTAAAAGTAAATACTATTCAATTTATTATAGAATGAAGCTTTGCTACTTGTTACCCAAAGTAAAATCTACTCTGAAGATCCCTGCAGACAAGCACCTGCTTCAGCAGTTAGAGATGTGTGTGAGAAAACTCCTGTGTCAGGAAAAGGATAAAGACGTGCTGGCTATGGTGAAGAGAGTAAGTACCACTCTCAGCATTGACATTTCTCGCATTAAGATAGTCTTGATCATATCTTCACTATTTTAGCGCGATTAGATGGCAGTACGTTAAGATATTTAGATCCTTGCTAGAGTAGGAAGAATTAGTAACTGATTTGGTCAACATGTGCTACAGTTGGATGTGAAAGTTGGCACTTAGACGTTCCTCTTTTATTACTAGTCAGACAAGCCCCATGAGAGAGAGCTGGGCCCATTTTAGGAGCTCAGTAAATACTGTTCAACTAATAATAAGTACTTCATTAATCAGACTTTATTTATAAGCGATTATAATCCGGGAAAACTTTGTTGGTAAAATCAGGAAAGTCACATTTGATAGACATTGAGCCATGGAAGGGCCCTCCGAGTTAATTCAGTGTCTGTCTGACTTTACAGAAGTTCTAGATCTAGAGGTATTAAGTGTCTGCTCAAGATCGTATCACTAAGTGGTGGAAACAGTACTAGAATGTAGGTCTCCTCCTGGGAATGCATGCTTTTTTTCAATAATGTTATATTGTGTCTTATGGTTTTTGTTTTGTTTTAGTATGTGATATGTCATTATATGGGTTGTTTGGGAATATTGGAAAACTAACTAAAACAGTAAAAAATTTTCGTTCGTGAAGTCAAACCTTAAAATAGTTTAGTCTTCAAAAACTCTTTTTTGCTGAATGTATGTTTTTATAAGATTAAGTTAAAGTGATTGCTTTTATGAATCTGTGAACTTCAGGATACATAGTTTTGAGCATTTATTTGTAATGAGAGAAAGCAACTTATTAATGTCTTAAATATGTGACATTGATATGAGGGGGAAAAATTCTTTGTTTTTTTTTTTCTAGAAATCATTGCCAGATGTCACATGAGGAACTTTTAAAAAAAACGATTTGATGACTTAGTATTAATTAGTATAATTTCATTTTACTGATATATGAATTCCTCTTTCATCACCTGAAATAACATAAATACCCAGAGTCTGGACATGCGTCTAAAACACACACACACACATGCACGCACACACATACTCTCTCTCTCTCTCTCTCTCTCTCTCTCTCTCTCTCTCTCTCTCTCTCTCTCTCTATCTCTCTCTCTTTTCTACCAGGTATCTCTGACCTTGCCATTTAATTATAGAAGCTTAGGCAATGCAGTTAACTTGTTAAAATAATAAGCATGAGAGGACTTATTACTTTTCTGATGGAATTTATTAGCTAACCCCATAAATAGGCACAGATATAATTAAACTAATGGATTACTAACCTATAATAGATTATTCCGGAGCACAGCTCTTTTTTATTTTTTATTTTTTTAGGCGAGGCAACCCTTGGTTGACCTCACAGATTGCAAGGACATTCAGCTTACAATCCCTTATTTTTTATTTTTTATGCCTATAGCACCTGGTCTTCCTAGGTGGTCTCCCTTCCAAGTACTAACCAGGCTTGACCCTGCTTAGTTTCCAAGATCAGACAGGATTGGGCTTGTTCAAGGTGGTGTGGCCGTAGACTAACAGCTCTTATTTTAAGTACAAAGTCAATCTCTCCCATGAAAATTCTGTAGTATGACATAGCCAACCCCAGGCGTGGTATGGGAAACTTTGAGGAAGTTACACAAAGCGTCAGGTTAAAAATGGAATACAGTTCTCCAGTCAGTTTTGTAAGATGGGAAGTAACTTTATTTAAAAGGGATATTTCATGGCATAAATTTTTGAATTTCCATAAATTTCAACGTCAGATAATATGTTGGCAGTGGCTAGCTGTGGCGTGTGAATATGTAGAGGCGCTTTATTTTGGCCAGTTCAGTTACTCCTGCAGAGAAGTACTGTCCTCTGTTGGGGACAGAACCCTGGGGTAGGTGGACCATTGTCTGATCAAAATAATTTGTTTCAGACTAGTGTATTCTGAAAGACAAATACTTAATTGAGAGAATGCTTTCAGAATTCAGTCTCTTCTATTGGTTCGAGTGTCATATGATCAAAGTTTCTGTGGAAAGGAAAGGAATTAAGAATTTGAAACCAAATGATAGATTCCTTCATATATATTCAGCTAAAAGATTTTTTAAAAATTCAAAAGTTATTTCTATTTTTGAAAATTCAGACGAGTACCACTGGGAGTTATTAGAAATTAGTTAAGTGGCATATATTGAGTATTTAAAATATTCGTCTAGACTTGATTTTCTTAAGGATAAAAAATTTTAACGTTTATATGGATCCTGGCATTAATATACACAGGTCGATTAAAAATACAGTGTAAAATTGGTAGAAACTTTAAAAGTTTCTAATTTAGTCCTCAGCATAGTGCAAAAGTCTCCTATTTGAACTTCCCTATTAAAAAAGGAGTGTTTTTGAGAAATGATTGGTTGCTTTAATTGAGTTACTGTTGAATAATTTTAAAAACTTTCTTTATAGACTGTGTTAGAGTTGGACAGAATGGAAATGTCTATGGATGCTGTGAGTACATTCTTTTTATGTTGCAAGGAATATTTAAATGTTGGCAAATACTTACCATCAGTGTTTCACAATTTCATTTTAAACTTTAAACTTAGTTTCAGAAAAAGTTTTATGAAAAAGATTTGTTGGATCAAGAGAAAGAAAGAGAAGAACTACTTCTTTTGGAAATGGTATGTTTTCACATGCACACACACATTCTTTTCTAACTAATATTAACAGTGCTTTGTCATTAAAGCTAATAATTTCTTTCAATTTCACACTTCTTTCTTCCTCAATGACTAGAGTCTTGATCTTTTTAAATCTGCTGTTTTATGAACTATAAGGAAAACTACATTTGAGAAGCTTTTAAAAAAACGTTTATTGAAGTATTATTGATATATAATTAACCACACATTTTAGTTGTAGGACTTGATGAATTTTGACATATGGACATATCTGTGACACCATCACCACAGTCAAAATGCTAAACATTTCCTCATGCCCCTTATGATTCATATCTTCTTCTCTCATCCCCAGAAACTACTAATCTAATTTCTGTCACTATAAATTAGTTTGCAACTAGAATTTATATAAATTTAATCATACATTATGTAACCTTTTTTTGGTCATACTTCTGTCCATCATCATAATTTATTCTGATAACATTTAGAATCAGTTTGTCCACTTTTATAAAAAGCCAACGAGAATTTTTGTGAGGATTGTGTTAATTAGGATTGATCAATTTGGAGAATTGCCATCTTAACATTGTGAGGCTTCTAATCCATGAACACTGTCTATTACTCTAGTTACTTAGACTTCCTGACTTTTTTCTCAGTAATTTTGGTAATGTTAAGCGCAGAGTTCAAGGAAGTCTTTTGTTAGATTTGTATCTAGGTATATTACATTTGGGGAGCATCATTGTAAATGGTATTGTAATTTTTAATTTCACTTTCTAGTTCAGGATTGCTAGTGGTAGAAGCTATAGAGAATAGGAAGGCTCTAAAAGTTTTTCACACTGAATGATGTAAGAGAAAAATCAGATAATAGAAAAAGACCCATAGATGAACCTGATACTGGAGTTAGCAGACAAGGACTTCAAGATAAGTGTGATTAATATGATCAAAGTAATAGAGGAAAAGATAGAGAAAGTAGATAACATTATTGCCCAGCTCACTTAATGACATTTTATTTTCCAGTTTTACATGTTTTATTTTCAGTTTTAGAATTTTCATTTGGTTCTTTTTTTATGCAGTCGAATTCTATGTGGAATTTTTTTATCTTGTTTATTTTCTCCATCTTTTCCATTAATCTACATGTGCACTTGAAAAGAATCCGTGTTCTCCAGTTATTGAGTGTAGTGTTCTATACATGTAGCTTGTTCAGAACTTGAGATGTTTATTGATTTTCTTGCCTTCTTATTCTATTGGGATGAGGGACTCCTCAATTTTGGTAATGTTTTGTATCCTGATCTGGGAGCTGGTGTGGCTATGTAGGTGTGTTCATTTTGGGAAAATTCATTGAGCTCTGCATTTATAATTTGTGTACTTTCTCTATGTGTATTATATTTCAATAAAACATTTAAAAAATATCCCAAAGACCATTTCCTTTTCTCTCAGTTTTCTTAAAGAAAAAGATTATTTTGTCGTTTACCAAACAGTAACAAATATTTTGCTAATGAGAATCTGTAAATACCTTCTAGAAAATAAAGGCTCATTATCACAATGATACTGAACTCCTTGTTTTAGCTTGACATATGTCCAAAGGCACAATTCTGTAGAGGTGAAAAGAACATAAAACTGAAAGAAACTAGATTTCTTTAGACACTACTTTGGAAAAAAAAATTGTGTACTTCTTTTAGGCATTTTCATGAATGATATTTTTATCTCTAAAGCTTAGAGTACTTTCTCATTAGAACACTTTTCTAAATCTATTTACACTTACCTTTAATGCTAAGATACTATTTTAATAATAGGAACAATTAGAGAAAGAGAAGCAACAAAATGATGGACGGCCCATGAGCGATAAAACCTTTGAAAAGAAACGTAAGTAGTTTTCCTATGTCTTCACCACTAAGTCACACAATTAATGTTGCATCCTGGCATTCCGAAAGGCCATGCTGAGTTGTTAATTTTATTTCGAAAATTGTTTTTCTTTTATTTTTAAAAGTCGATGACAGAAACTGTCTGCTTAATGTGGTGTACATGTTAAGAATCCATGAATAAATGGTGGTGGGGGTCAGTGCTGACATTCAGACCCTTCAAAGGAAAACTTCAAGTTCGATAACAGCACAAAGATTGTAAAATTGGTCACTGAATAACTAAGATAGAAATATGTAAATATGTAAAGTGAGAATATCTGGGAAACAGTGCTGCTTAGGTAGGGAGAGTGTTTCACATTTTCTGTGTTGTCTTGTGTGTTTATGGAGAGTAATAAGAACTCAGAGGAAATCACAGCACTTAAAGCAGAGTTTGTTTTAGGAAGAGACACGAAGACACCAACAACGCTGCCCAAGAGCATCCCCGTCCCTGTCCCCGGGCCCTCTTCCAGTACTCCATCGACAAGTAAGGAGCGACTCTTCATGTCTCCTTTTATCCTTTATACAAAATCGCTTATGGGGAAAGTCACTCTCTTATATGAGCTATATGATTCTAGAGCACCATTTTCCTCTTACCATTCATTGTTTTGGTACTTCCTAAAGGCCAGTGTGGGTAAGAGATACCCCAGTCAGCTCAAACTAAGGAAAGGGAGCCTAGACCCATCTGTGTTTTAGTGAAAATGGTGGGAGTTGGAGCGGACATGGGGTTGGGGCGTCTAAAGAGGAACTGAACAGTTGCATTTTTCTTCTGCTTATTACTATAGGCAAAGAAATCAAGAAATCCAAATTGATTCGAAGCCAGTCTTTTAATAATCAAGCCTTTCATGCAAAATATGGCAACTTAGACAAGTGTGCTAGGTATGATCTGTCAGCTGTTCATATTTTAATTTTTATTTTATAGTCACACATCTTTATGTGAATAATAACATTATAAAAATTAGGTTTGATTTTGATTGTTTAATAGGTCAATCATTTTTAGGTTTTCTTCTGTAAAGATTTTATGTTAAAAAATAGTCTACCAATTTGCATAAGGATAGGTTTCCTGGTAATCTGTGCAGACTGCTGCCATGACACTACATAATAACATCATGGAATCCATATAAGGTTTTAAGAGAAAGATGGCACTATGCCACATATGCCGCTAGACTGCTAAATGGGTATAGTCATGCCCCATTTGCTAAATGGATGTGGACATCCGTTTTCTATTAATATTCTGTCTATAAAGAAGCCACTGGCATGTTTCTGTGGCAAAGTGATCATAACAAGAGTTCTCCTGACAGTAAGCGAAGGTCTAGCTTCCCCTTCGGCCCAGCAGACAAAATTATAAACAGTTACGATTAGGAGAGAATTAATGTGAATTAAATGAACATGATATTTTATATATGTTATACACATGTAGTATATAACAGCTGCATATCAATAGACAAGCACAGTAATTTTAAGGAAACATAAAAGTCTTTAAAAGTATTTATTGCTCTATCAAGAAAAATAATATGGAACAAAAGTGTGTTTCTTATATTAAAGATAGCTTATTCAAGATTTTCAGCTCTATTTTAGGACATGATCAGTAGATCTATCTAGAGTTCCTAGTCAAAAGGATGATCTCCTGATAGACAAAAGAAATTAGAACGAAAGATGAGTTATTTCCAAGAAAATATCATTCATTCAGAATTTCCCTACCTGTCATGGCTGAGCATCAAAAGACTGTTATTCTAATGCAGCAAAAGCTTAAGGAAATGCTTTTAAGTTATGGACAAAGTAATTGTTGTAAGGCATGGAATGTAAAAAAAAAAAAAAAATGAGAAAAGGGGCAAGCATGTCTTATAAGAAGTAGAGGAAAGCATTAAAAAAAGGTTTAAAAAGACTAAGTACTGGATGACTGGGATTGAAACAAACACATTCTTATATTTTAAACTTAATAATGTTCTTTTCTAGTAAAAGTTCTACGGCAGCATATACATCTTCTGTCTCAGGGTTAACAAAGACATCTATCATTTCACTAACTGGTAAGTAGAAATCTGAGCTCTTCAAAAATTGCTCAACTTAATAAAATATAATTCTCTTTAAATGACCAATTTTTAAATTTCTAGACCCCATTTTTTTCTAAATTTATATCTTTATCGAATTCTAGGAAATAACCCTTTTCCTAGCAATCGAGAAAATACTTGACTATGCCATTCTGTTTTCCCTGTGTCAAGACTCAGAGTGCAATACTTTTGGAAGAGAAAAAGGACAAAATGATAGGCTAGGTTTTGCCATAATCTGAGGACCTGCTGAGGCTCAATTTTTTTGCAGTGATTTTACGGAAGTTAAAAACAATAGAGTTTTAATGTGGATCATATGCAGCTAAACCTTTTACTTCATTATATATTCGAAAGTTTATACCAGGGGTCAGCAGACTTTTTCTGTAAAGGGCCAGATGGTAAATATTTTAGGTTTTGCAGGCCAGCTGGGTTTCTGGCCCAGTTACTCAACTCGGGGCATTGTAGAGTAAAAGCAGCTGTAGGCGATATGTGATGAATAGGTATGGCTGTGTTCCAATAAAACTTTACTAACAAAAACATGCAGTGGGCAAGATTTGGCATACAGGCTGTAGTTTGCTGACTTCTGCTTTATATGACAACATAGAATTATGTTATGAATAAGAAAGAATATAGTGCTCAAAATTGCTAGTGGCTGTAAGTATATTTTTAACTTTTAGCTCTGGAAATATTGGTTGAAAATTATAATATAGATCGATGGCAACTTTTTAGTGTAAATAATAGCAAATCTACTCAAGGTCTGAGATTTTAAAAAGTTTAGTTATATCTCCTTTTTACATTACATTTAGATATGTTTTGAGTATTTTCTCTCCTTATCTCTTCTTGTTTTCTTTTGATTCTCATGAAGAATATATACATTCATTGGCTATTCTGTAAACAGTATGTTTTCATTTGCCAGAAGAGAAAAACTTTCCAATATCAAAGCATTGACATCCACATACAGTATGTAGAGTAGTTCTACAAGGTATGCTATGAGTATTGTAAAAATCTGAAAGGATTTAATAACAAAATTGTTGAACTAAAATTGTCAACATTTAAGTTAGGTCTATAAATAATAAAACTGTTGATTACTTTTATCTTAGCAAAGCAGTGAGTTCTTTAGGTGATAACTAAGGAAACATTTGGGTTTTAGGTTTTTATTTCCTATATAAGGTGCCTTTAAACATTATAAATGTGTATAGAAAATCGGCTTGGAGCTAATGGTGCAGAAGATTATAGATTCCTGTAAGGCATTCTTCCAACCTGGGAGGGTCCCATCTGGCCTCTTGGAGATGACCTCACCCAGCTGTAAATGAGAATATTTATTCATGAACGTGTAGTAATTCTTGCCAAGGAATTTCTTTGCCTAAATCATTAAGAATATTGATTCAGAACTGTTTTTTAAGAGTTTTAATTATGTGCATTAATTTCTTCAGTTTTTACTTTGCTAGTTCTTAAGTCAGCTTGAGAATTAGGAGGCTATATGATCTACAAATCCTAAAACTTAACATCCAAAGTCCTAAATAAAAACATATTTGTAAGGGTAAACTTTTCTTAAAATATTTGAAAAATATTCTATCTTAAGTATTCAATATTATTTTGGGGAGAGAGACTATAAATTGAATGAAATATCTCCTAGTTTTCTTGGTGTGAAAAATGTGGTTATTACTTATTATTTATTACTTAATGAAATACAGACTGAGGAAAAAGTCACAATCAATTACATATCTGATATATAAAGAGAAAATGGAAGCAAAATGTCTGTCTCAAAATATTTTAGGCGTTCCACATAGAGAAGAGATTTTTGTCTACTTGTGAGACTTAAGACAGGCTTCAGGATAGTTGTGTCATGTGAGATGAACCTTCAGACATGCTAGAATTTTGACAGGGGAAGAGGGTATGGAGTAACATCCATACAGAGTACCTGTCATAAAGAACACTTGAGTGTTGGGATCTTCGGGAGCCACAGCAGACCACGTCGGAGGATGGAGTGGGTGTGAGAACAAAAGTATTAAATAAAGCTGAGAAGAAAGATCAAAGTCGTAGCTCAGAAGGGCGAATTGAATCCTTTTTACTTAACAGAACCCATCATTAATCGTCTGGTGACTTTTGCCTGTCATCCATTATAACACTGCAAGGCCATGTGGGTACTACAGACTGGGGGAAATAGGAAGAGCATGCTAGTAAGGAAACAGACTGCAATGGATGGATCCATTGTTAGTGGAGATGAAGATCAATGGGACCCTTTTGGAAAGCAGTTTGGTAAAGTTCATCAAGAATCCTAGATTTTTAAAGTACTCTGTAACTCAAAAAAAAAAAAAAAAAGAAAAAAGAAAAAAGAAATCCCATTTCTAGTGATTAGTCCTAAAGCGATAAAATGTGATAAAAATATCATAGTGTGTACCCTTGACACAGTGTGATGAAAATGGCACTATACCTCTGTCATCCTCCCTCAAACCCATAACCCTAGTCTAATTATATAAAATAAAAGCATCAAACCAATTCTAGTAGAGGGGCATCCTACAGAATTGACCGGTACCCCTCAAAAACAGAGAGAAGCTGAGAAACCATCACAGCCAAGGAGAACCTAAGATGACCTGACTAGTAAATGTAATGTTCCTGAGACAGGAACAGACATTAAGTAAAAACTAAGAAAATCTGAACACACTATGGGTTTTATTTAATACTGTATCACGCTTGGCTCATTAATTACAGCAAGTGTAGCACACTAATGTAAGGTTATTAAGAGGGAAACTGGGTGAGGGAGTAAATGAGAAGGTTTTGTACTATCTTTTTGATATTTCTGAAAACCTAAAACTTAAAAAATAAAGTCTATTTAAAAATTGGCATTTACAATAACTTCAGAAACATGAAATGCTCAGGGACAAATTTAACCAAAAGTGTGCTAAATGTACACTAAAAACTTTAAAATGTTCCTGAAAGAAGTTAAGGAAGACCTAAGTGCTGTCAGGACAGGGAGAACTCCCTTCCTTCCTTCGTTAGTTCTTATAGCTGGACTAATAATAAAACAATAAAATTGACTCAAGACTAGATTAACAGGAGAAAAACCAATCTAACGTGTGTGCAGGAGAATCATAAGATGGTCAGCTCATAAAATATGAGGCTCAAAGAAATGATCGAGCCAGACATTTTTTAATATTTTTTAGATAAAGAAACAATAAATTTGTGAAGAAATTGACAGGACAAAGGAAAAAAAATTAATGATCATTAAAAAGGAATATAAGTAAAGTTTGCGTACTTGTTAGTAAGGAATTTAAGCAAGGTAAATTCCTTGCTTAAGAAAAGAGGCAACAAGGCTTGTTGATCCAGACTCTTTGTCTCCAGGCACAGGAGTATGTGGCGGGGGTGGGGCACCTTTCACAGTGGAGATTTATTTCCTGTATTTAAGGAGACGGAGGAGGGTCAAGGTGCCCTTCAGGCACTGGCTGCTTGTCAAGTCACTTTAATTCAAAGTAAGCAACATGCCATTGTGGGATATTTTGGGGTGGTCTGTCTTGGGCTCTGACAGTGGAGAGATATATCATGTTTATGGATTGGAAGACTTCATATTGTTATGTCAGCTCTTTATAAATTGATCCAGAGATTCAGTGTAGTCCTGATCAAAATTCCAGCAGTCTTTTTATAGCAATTTATAGTGAGATGCACAGAACTGAGTATTGCCAAACTCGTTTTGAAAAAGGAAAAGTTAGAGAACCTAAGTTACTAATTCAATACTTACTTTAAAGCTGCAGTAATCAAGACTGTGTCGCCTATGTCGACATACGTGGTCAATTTGAATTTCAACAAATGCTCCAAGATAAAGCCATGGTGATGGGATAGTATTTTTTAAAAAGGTTGCTAGAATGATTGGATATCTGTATTTAAAACAAACAAACAAAAACTGAACTTCAATTCTTATTTTGCACTATACACAAAATTAACTCAAAATTTATTATGAACTTAAACATAGAATCTAAAACTATAACATTTTTGAAGGAAGTATAGAAGGAAACCTTCGTAATTTGGGGATAGACCATAAAAGATTTATCCAAACCATAAAAGAAAAAGTTAAGATATTGGGCTTCATCAAAATTGAAAACTTATGGACCTTGAAAGATATTATGAGAAAATAAAAGGCAGAGCTCAGATTGGGAGAACATATTTATACTACGTATACCTGACAAAGACTCGTATCCAGAACATACAAAGAAATCTTTAAAACTAAAGACTTGTATTCAGAAGATACAAAGAAATCTTTAAAACTAAAGACTTGTATTCAGAATATACAAAGAAATCTTTAAAACTAATTAGGCAACTAATTTTAAAATGGGAAAAAGAGTTGAACCTACACTTCGCAAAAGAAGATATACAAATGAAGAGATACTTAACATCAGTAATCGTTAGAGAAACGCGAATGAAAAGTAATGAGAGAAAAAAAAAAAAGACGAGGCGATACCGCTTCACACCCACGATTGGTGCTGGAGAGCTCCACAGGGTGGGAGGCCAAAGAAGGACCCAGACCCGAAGCTCTGGCAACCAGGTTCTTGTCTTATGCTGCGGGAAAGAATTCAAGGACACACAAACAGCAAGCAGGGAAGTGCGAGTTTTAGTAAAGCGAAAATGCAGGCAAACTTGGAGAGCAAGTTGCACTGGGCTGTCTGGATTAGGGGCTGTTGTTTTCCTTGGGGGCGGGGGCTGGAGACGTGGTACTTGCAATGCAGGTGATACTATAATGATATTACGATTAGCTACAGCTGAACAAAGGACAAGGGAAAGACTCTGAAGCCTTATCCTGGAAGTGAGGGGATGTCCCAAGGTTATCCATCTTGCCTCCTGGTTTTGGCTTGTTTTTCATGTCGCCTAGAGGGGAAGGGACTGCCCAAAGCCATCTATCTTGTCTCCAGGCCTTGGCTTGTTTCTCACACCAGAGTTGGAGGTCAGAACAGGGTGAGGGCTGAGTAAGGGACAAGGGAGAAATTCAGGAGCCACAGGGAGGGGGCTGAGAAAGGGACTAAGAAAATTCCAGAGCTGTATCTTGGAGGAAGGGGGACCATCCCTAGCCTCACTGTAATGTCCACATCGAAAAGGCTCACAGTACCAAGTGTGTGCGAGGATGTGGCGCAGCCCTCCCGAACTCTCAGACAGTTCTGGTGGAAATGCAAAGCGGTACAACCATTTTGGACAACAATTTGGCAGTTTCTTATAAGGTTAAAAGACACACTTATTATGTGATCCAGTAATTCTACTCTTAGACTTTTACTGAAGAGATATCAAAATATATGTTTACATAAAGATTGGTGCATGATTGTTCATAGCTACTTTATAATAGTCAAAAACTGGAAAAAAAAATTCCAAATTTGTATCAATAGGAAAATTTATAAACAAAATTTTGACATATCCATACAATGGAATATTAGTCAGCAATACAAAGGAATGAAGTATTGACATACACAACAACATAGATGAGTCAACATAATTCTGTTGATTATATAAAATTCTAGAAAATGAAAACTGATCCATAGTGACAAGAGGCAGATGTGGTTGCCAGGGGGTGGGGACCCGCGTGAGCGTTTACAAGGAGAGGAGGAAACATTTGGTAGTAATGGGTGAGAGCTTCACGGGTCAAAACCGTAAATTTGTGCAGTTTATTGTATATAAATTATACCCTGATAAACTGATTTAAAAGAAAAAAGTCAGCTATTATTAACTTTTCTTCCCTTAGGTTAACATCTTCCTTAGTATATTAAAAATGTCTGACTCTACACGTATTACTTTCAGATGATTCATTCCGGACTCGAAATGCTAGTAGTGCTCCAACTTCCTTTTCTCCTAATACTGCCCTTCCAAGCACCTCCCGTGGGACAGGTAACTCGATTGACGCAAAGAGCAGTGGAAGTAAAGACACACAACCACGGAAGGCCACCTTGTGAGTAATTCAGTGACGCACTGCTAGGTGTATTATCCTACGCTTTCCTCAGGTACTTTCCTTCCCAAAGAACAGAAAATGTCCATAACGAGGAAATGTTCAAAATTAAAAGGGATTATTATTAGCACATGTGCCTCTGTTATCTTAAGACTTTATATGAGATGATGTACATATGACAAAAACATTGTAACTTCAGGGAATCAAGAAGACTCTTTAAATGGCTCCCACTAACATCCGAGATCTATTTATTGTTCTGTGGAATGTTTGTATTCCAGGACTTTATCTGCAAAGACACTGGGGGTAATTGCATTCCTAGTTAGCTTAAGTGCACACAGTACTTCATTGCCCAGAGCACAGAAAGACAGTGCAGCTGCTGCCGCTTAAGAAATGTTACTGCACGTAGGGTCCAGCATGTAGGTCAGTAAGCTGGAGATTTCTGGAGGCCAAGCTTGTCCTTGAAGTTGAGGTTATAAAGGGCCTCTATTCTCGCCCACCCCCGGTTCCTTTTCATGTGCTATTTGTATCTTGTTTTCAGTGTTGAAGGCTTTGTTTCTTTTAGTTTAAACATTGAGGAGAGTAGTAGCTAACAATCACCGTGTTAAGACATCGTGTCACAGTCGAAGTGATGTGTCCAGCCTGCTTCAAACCATATCTGCAGGTTTACCCTTTCTATGGGGCACCGAAATCTCTGATGAGTACAGAATTGAAACAGGATTCAGATTTATCTTTAAACATATTTCATTTTATTCATGAGTATTTTCTAGTAAAGTCTCTGATATGCATTTTTTTTTTTTAGCAGAAACTCCATGCTGGTATCCCTTTTAGGAACTGAATGATATTCTAACTTATTCTAAAATTTTAATTGGCTATTGATATATACAAATATACAGCTAAATTCATTCAAAACTTAGAAACAAATTTATGGAAAGGAACTCAAGGAAAAAGTAGGACTATGTAACAGGAAACTAATGGGAAATAGAAAAAATAATAGTTATATTATAAGTTAGTAGTATTAATACAGATGATACTTTTATTTGCAGAGAATGCTCTTTGCACATACAGTTGTTGCTCTAATGATTATACTATGGACGTTCCATTTAAAAGTCATGAGAATAGAGGCCAGACAGGGTCATGGGCTGTAGAGAGCACAGAGCGGGAGCCTGTACCCTGGTTCTAGTAGCAGTTAAGCAGCTGCACACATTCAGTTCAGCACTCTGGGCCCCGTCATCCCGTTTGTAAAATGACAGGGTTGACTCCTGGTCTATCCCCTAAGGCACCTTCCAGTCCCAGCATCCTGAGATCCGTCCTCTCTATCACCTGTGACCCTCTTTCTCTCAAAAGGTCTCCCTGGATTTCTTCTGTTGAAGAGCATACTTAATAACATGATAATATAATCCATTCTCTTCTCAACTTGTTTTTCTAAATGTTGTAGGCATTTTTAAAAATAAAGACCATCGAAATTTCCTGTATTTATATCACCTCTCCTTTATTTCAGATTATTGTCTTTATCTGTTCTTTCATTGTTGAGCGTGTTTTTCCTATTTATAGACTGAATTTTCTCTTGCTCAACATATGTAATATAGTCATATAATTATACTAATACTTATATAATCAATTATATGTATAATTGTTTAAAAATAAATCTAGAAAGAAACACGCTGCTAAAAAATCACATCAAGTTCGTTTCTTCTTTTCTGAATATTCTGAAGGAGGAGGAATATTGGTATCACAGCTGCTTTTTTAACACCTGGCTGGATCTACGAGCCCATAACTGTATCTCCATATGATGTGCTTCTAATCTGGACTTTTTCATGAATGTGCACTGCCACATAACTGGAATAGGTGATCGATGTGGTCATGTTTGGTTATGTTTCTGTGAAGTATTATTATTTGTAGTTCGGCACCATGCCATATCCAAATGAAAATATATCCTTTTTACTTAAAATAAGCCTAGAAAGTGATTTCAGAAAGTATTAATTATCTCAGTTTTTGCTGTTCAGAAGAATTCTATGCAATGTATCCTCCAACTTTTTAGTGTCTTAGAAATGGCACACACATCTGGTATTTAGGAATATCAGTATTTAAGGGAAATATGGGAATGCATCGTATCTTAAGTCTTTTAAATCAGACAATTGACATATTGAGGCTGCATTAACTTCTATTATGGTTATACAAAACAAAAAATGTAGGAAAAGTTATATGAGTTGAATCGAATGCTATGTTAGATGCACACAGGATTTGGTAATTAAAGGTAATTCCAAGTAATCTTTAATGTGTAATTTATTTTTTCACTTAATCAGAATTCTTATATATTAGGTTTATTCAAAGTAGATTCTATGTTTTGTAATTTACTTTGTAAGCATTATGTGGCTAACATTTTTCATGTTTTTTTTTCTCCTCTCTTCTCTCTCTTCTCTTTCTTTTTTCTTTACTTTCCTTCCTCCCCCATTCCTTTCCTCTCTTCCTCTCGCATTTTTTTTTTCTTTCTTTTTGACAAAGAAAATCCAGAAAATCCAATCCTTAAATCGTCTGCTTGATGAAGGAGGCAAAACGAAGACAAAGGGAAGATGTGATTGACAGACAAAGGCTAAAGCAATGGCTGGGGCTTTTTTTTTTTTTTTCTTCTTCATGAATGGAAAAGATACACAGCGGCAGCCGACGTTGCTAGAAGTTCCATATTTGAAATTAGATTCCCTAGGAGGTATAATATACATTTCTTAGATAATAATGTGGTCACAGAATTCCAATGTGATAGTGAGGTGTCATGAAAAACAACTTTAGGCGTGTGCTTTAACTGCTGCAGCAGAAGAGACAATCTGCCTTTATTTGTGCAGGAAACCATCTATTTAATTTTTCTAGAGTTTTAGTGTTTAAAAATTAGATGAAAGTCCAAATCAACTAAAATTGCCCTAGCTAGATAATCACTTGGAGGGGGGACTTGAGAGTGAGAAATACATTGCATTTTCTCATGAATCCTCAAGCCCAGTTGGAAAGTCACACTGAAAAGGGTACAGACAACTGTCCGCAATTTTATCAGTCCAATTGTGGTGACAATCTGTTGTGTACCTGGGCATTCTGAAATTTAAATTTGGCAATGAAAATTCCAAAGATTTCTGATAACTTTTAGCCACAACTACCTTAAAAATAATAGACTGATGATTTCCTTTATTTCCTAGAAGAATTTATTTTATAAATACTTTGTTTACATTTTAGATTGTATTTGTCCTTAATTAAAAATGATGAATCTAGTTTGAATCAGCTGTTATTCCAAGCTATCATGCTTAAGCTATGTCAACAGCATTTATTTGTACTAATGCTAATATTTCCATCAAAATTTGCCTGTGGAACATATACAGTTATTAATTTTAAAATGTCGGTTCTTGAGATATACTGTATGAAGCTATTGTCAGCTTCTCTATTTGAAAATGCAATCAGCATATAACTATATTGATATTAGAAAATATTTGTTTTTTAAAATATATTGATGTATGATAAAGATGATCTAATTTGTGAATGCATATGCGTGTGTGGTTACTTTTTATAATGTGAAATAATGAATAATGAATTTACTCAAAATAAAACATAGGTTAACGAGATACCTGTGTTTGTGAAAAAAGCTTTAAATACTTTTCCTGCAGTTTTTCTTCTTTAATTAAAGAGTAAGACAGTTTATTTTTAAGCAATGAATAAGAAAAGCATACCAACGTCAACGATAAATTACTCAGGACAGCCACTCAGTGTTAAACTTTCATGCCATTCATTTCCCCTTTGCCTTACAAAGTGGCCTCTTTTTGGCTATTTTTAGATATTCTTAATATCTTTCATTTAAGGACAATCAGGTAAATGGAATTGTTCAACTACCCATTTCGTTAGTGGGTTAAAATTGAGTAGGTGTGAGAAGCTTGACCATACTGGCTAATTTAGTTCATTCTTTATGGATTTCATCTACCTGTTTTAGTGATGTCTCCTACCAGCATCAGTGACATGGGACTGGACACATTGTGATTCAGGAGAGATATCCGTGGTACCTAATGGGACATGGGAGAGGCAGCAGTTTTCCCAGCACTTTGATTCGTAATCAGCATTGGAGATTAATAGAGATTCATTTATGGAGATTCTCCATAAATAAAATGGAGAATTCCGGTTTATTTGTTCAAGAATAAATTTAGCAGAGTCAGGAATTTTCATTTTCCATTATGTATGTGGAGAACAGGAAAGTGATCTGACGGAGAAAAGTCACCACTGCTTATAAAATTCAAGAATTACAGAAGTCAGCTGCAGTTTTATTCTAAGGCACGAAGTTATCAATTAAGACAATCAAAATTACATTTGGAAGTTTTCTCTTTTTTTCCCACAGAACATGGTAATTTCTAAAATCATCGAAATATTTGTTAATTTTATTCTTCCAAAGACAGATATGTAAAGACACAGTAAAAAACAAATTGGTGACACTTATGACTATCCGCATAGAACTCCATTCAACAACTAACAATCGGTTTAACAACTTATCAAACAGTTCCCTTAAACTAGTGTGACAAAGAGTTCCCTCCGTAGCTGCAGCGAAACAGGAATATCACCTTCGTCTGTTTAATTATGGAAACTTGCATTTATAAGGATGGGGTCTAGAATTTCACGGGTTAGCATTACAAGCGAAAAACAAGACATGTAAAACTCAATTTTACTGGCAGAAATGGAGATAGGGCTCAAAAGATTTTACTTTCTTGAGGTAAAATAAAGAGCGTATATAATTTTTTTTCCTGTAACTTCATACACATTTAAAAATTGTATTTAACTTCCTGAGCTCAGACCCCTTATTCTGGAAGGATGGGTTCATTTTTACTTGCAGTTAGTGGGTATACGTGAAAATTTGAATTGAAATGAACAGGTTCTTTAGCTCAAGTAGGAGTTTTACAGTGAAAGTAAATAAATTAGATTAACTCAATAATCTGTTCTTAATTGTTATAGTGTGTGTGCGCACGTGAGAGAGAATGTGAGTCTTTACAGGAACAGTTTTTTTTTTTTTAAAGCCTGGTCTTCCTAAGTGGTCTCCCATCCAAGTACTAACCAGGCCCAATCCTGCTTAGCTTCCGAGATCAGAGGAGATCGGGCTTGTTCAGGGTAGCATGGCTGTAGACAAGGAACAGTTTTTAAAATCTGACAAATATAGGGAAACCTTGTTACAATGTCCACATTTCCGCCCCCCCCTCAGTTGAAACCTTGAGTTTTTTTGTATGATTAATTACACTTTTTGTTGATCTGTATTTCTTCACCATGCATATAGGAAAATCTGAAACCTAGTGTCTTAGGAGCTTCTTCAAGCATATGTTGAGGAATTAAAAAAAATTTTTTTTTAATAGAGAATAAGGCTATTTTCTGTCTAAAGAGCAGTGCGTTAGGTATCAGCGTTATGCCACCATCGTTTTGCGATGCATGTGGAGAGAGGAAGGGAGAGTGTGACCTGCATGTCATGTGAATCCTTCAGTAATAAAGAATCTTTTTCCAACTGGGTTTGGCCCTAGTTATTGCAGAGAGTCATATGTGCTCCTAGGCTTTTTTCCCCCCCTCAATTTCCTCTCCTAAAAGTGGGTAATTTGAACCCTTTTTTATGTCTCTTTGTACGATTTTTCCACAAATGAACCTGACTAACTGAACACGAACAAGTCACTGGAGAATGCCATTGGAGTGAGTCCTCTATCTGTGTCTCTCTTTCTAGGCCCTAGAGTGGCCTCGCTTACCACTGATGAACTGGTGCGCCAAGGAACACAGGAGTGAATTCACGTCCAGGATTTAAAATGATGAAAAGTCAATCCTTATACTGCTGCCCTATATCATTACCTATTCACATTAAGTATGATACACATTACTCTGATTTCTATTCATAGTTAAGTTAATCAATACATTAATTTTAGGTATGAAATTGGATAGCAAACAAATCCGATTAGGCATTTAGTTGACACAGCTGACAGTCCCAGATTAGTTAGCTCTATTCCTGAGTCTCTGAATTTACTCCTCAAATATTTTCTTGTCTCTGTAACAGAAAATGACTGCTTAAGACAGTTTCGGGACGGGGGTGTGCGGGGTGATATTTGCTGTTTTCCTTTTAACCTTGGCACGAGGTCCAGGCTTGTATTCTGTTTAACCACAGTGGGTCACAGAGGCGAGCACATGCTTCCTGTTTAGTTGCGTCCCACCAGAAGTCTCAGATAGAAGGAAGAGTGGAATAGGCTAGAGCCTGGAGCAGGGAGACCCTGCCATTGCCACACTGGGTGACCTTGGGCAAGAATTTTGCATCCTATGAGCTGTCTGGCATGATTTATTCATTAGGTGCAGTAAGCACAGTGCCTAAGGCCCACAGTACTTTTAGGGATCTATGAAGATGTTTTACTTCTTGCAATAAGCAAATTATATACATTGGTATAAAGACAAATAAAATCCAGAATAAAATTATCATTATACCAATGCAGTCATAAAATATCATTTTTAATATACAAATATTTTTTTTAATGGAGGAGAGAGCCCGTGAAGGCGAAATGACAGGGGCCCATGCAAGGCAGAATGTGACCCTGACTCTGATCCCCTTTTTCCGTCCTTTGTAAAATGCAGGTGTCAGACTAGGTGGCCTGTGGCTTAGTTAAGGCCTCTGCCAAATGACCAGACGCGCCATGGAGTGGACGGGGACCCACAGAGGCAGATGCGTGATCAGGACCCACTCCAGCCATTTTCTTCTCCTTTTGGTGAAAATAAAACACTTATTTTGCAGGAGGGGGAAGTAAAGGGAGTGAAGCACATGAGTCACACGCGTGTCTTCCCGAGGCTTCATCTGGAAATAGTGTTCTGAGCTACCATTTTTTTTAAAAAGTCTGGATAGAGGAGTAACAGAGAAGGGTAAAGCTATTCTACCAAACCAGCCTTTAGCCAACAACAACGGCTCTTAGAAACAGGCTTAACATAGCAGGCAGACTGTCCAAACAGCTCCTTAAAGTAAATTTGAATTTATCTAAGATTGGCTCAAATTAGCACCCAGAGCCAATATCCTGGGCGGTTCCTGGACCTCATCTGCTGCGCACCAAGTCTTTGTGCCTGTGGTGGGTCAGAGGAGAGTTGGATTCACAACCCTGCCCAGAAACAGAAGCATTCTAGAGCTTTCTTCGTAGATCATGAAGTGAAATGGCCGGTCCACTTTGATGATCGGAGGCATGGAGTAAGCCGTGATTTCTGAGAAGGTTCCCGCCACTGCCTCCGTTCCTTTTTCATTGACCTCGATCACCGCTCTTTGTAAAACCTAGAAAAGGAAATAACGTGGAAGGCCACCTGGGCGGCAACGGAGAGGAGGGGGTGGGGCCGCTGGGGATCACTGGCCAAGGTCCTCCCACGGGGCCACGCCCCCGGCCGTTAGTGCACAGGGCTCCTCTGCTGGGAGCCGTGGTCTGACGTGGCCCCAGGCACTGCCTTAGAACCCAGAACAGTACCAGGAGAGCCCAGGAACCCAGATGGGACACATTCTGGACGCGGACCCAGGGACTCTGGCCGATTCGTGCACACGTGCATCAGGGCGGCAAATACTTGTTGAGCATGTACTTTGCGTTACTGATTCTTTAGCTGAGCTGGTGTTGCTCCAGAAGGTTCTCAAGCTGCCCGGAACCCCTGAATACTTTGACTTTCCTCTGGCAGGCAACGTGGGGTCAAGAGTGTGGCTAGTCTTTTGTAGAAGCTTCCTAGCACCTGGGACTTCCCTGCGGAGTCCCAGGCTGAGCCCTGGGGTCACCGAGGTCTTTCTGAACTCTGGTGGCCTGTACGGAGAATCCTGTACTTGGAGAATCCCTAACTTCCTGGAATGAAAATTTACTTCCCAGAGTAAGAAGAAGGAGACTATTTAATGATTTGCAATTTAAACTGTAAAACAGCACATTTCTTCAGTTTTTCATGTGTTTGCAGGAAAAATTCTTTCAGGCGCTGGTCTGCAGGACCGTGATGTTCATTTGACTTACCTTCTGCGAGATGCTAAGGCCTGATTGCAGGTCAAGGTTAAGTGGATGCTGTCTTTAATCTCTTTTGGAATTAGAAAATGCAACTGTATGGGAAAATATTAACCAAACCCCACAGCTAAGAAAGAACTTAGCTAAGATGCGGCTGCTGTTTTGAAACATTGGAGCGTTTTCTCTGTTTAATAATGCTTGGGGGCGGGGAGACTGTTGCTGCTGGCATTAGTGATTAGTTAGGTCCCCGGGCCAGGGACCTAACCAGTTTCCTGCAATGCACTGAACGCTCTGAACAACAAATGATGCTGCCCCTCAAAACCAATTGCACCTTCATAGAGAAAACGGATTAGCTAGAGGCATTCCTTGTGGACGGTGACTAACCTTGCTCTTAGCTTTAAAGGCAGAACAAAGGCCAAAGAGTATGAATTAGGGAGGAGTTACAGGTCAAAAAATATGTGTATGAGAAACACCCAAATACTATTTTAGCCGTTTGTGGGCTGGGTTGCTTTTCAAAGAAGCGGTGGGTTCCCTGTCACAGGAAGCATTAAGAAAGAAAGAAAGAAGGAAGGGAAGTGAGGAAGGAAGGAAGGAAGGAAGGAAGGAAGGAAGGAAGGAAGG